AGAGAGCTGACCCTTTGATCCCTCAGCCTTTATACTGAGCATGAGGCAGATGGGATGGAATACCCTCGTTGGTCAGTTTGGGGTCACCTGTGCCGTCCGCTCCTCCCCGCAGGTGGGACCCCACTATGCTTTTCCGCTTCCGACCCTCCAACGGGGCAAATAACAAAGTTGGTTGGCCTTCATTGTTATAGCGATAAGTATAAGCAAGGTCCTCTCTGCATCCCGTGCCTGGGCATCAGCTATAAACATAGGTCTGATCACCCTGAGAGGGTGAACATTGTCCGCACAATATGCTGTTAATTTCAGCAGTTAGAGAGGCCCAGCTAAGAAGTGAAGTTACTGACCAAAATTGGTTCCGTTTTACCTCAAACCAGGACACCAAGTCCTCCTCAAGTGAAAACAGCTTGTTGGAATTTTGGAGATTCCCCTGTGAGAGACTGCGGGTCCCACTGCCGGGTTGTGGTCAGCTCTGTTAACAGGAGCTGGAGAGATCCGGTGTGTAAAACGGGGCCGTGTGAACAGAGCGCAGGAAGCAGCTGGGTTCTGCCGACGAAACCACTGGTCAGCGTGGGTCTATCAGGTAAAGTCAGGATCAGAGTACAAGAATCTATAGTTCTTGACTCACTTTTTTTTCCCTTTTTTTCTTGCTTTCAGTGATAATAGAGCTCTAATTTCACTCTTGGAATTACTTTTTAAAATCTTTTGTTTATAAACAGGGTTTGTTTGTTTGTTTTTTAAGTTGGATGTGGTAATACGGTCCTTCCTACTTATTTGTTCTTAGTGTAATAAGAGGGTACCGGGATGGGCACAGAAAAACTGCACAACCCAAAGCCTTCAAAGCAGACCGTGCCCAGCTTTGTCAGAAAAGGGAAGCGTGTATTTTTTAGGACAGAGCTCACAAGTGGTGTTGGCGGCATTTGCAGCTGTCTGAGGAGATCGCAGCGCAGATGCTTTCAGCCAGACCTGTTCCCCACAGGCCCTTGCTCCTGCCCCGTCCTGGAGGCCAAGGGTTTACCCAAGGGTTTACCGGCCTCTTTTCACTCACGGAAGGTGGGAAATAGCTGAAGTTTAAAGCAATCGTGTTGTCTTCCCTGAGGGCTTTTACGATGATTTTGCGTTAGGGTTAGGAGCAGGTCTCTTACCACCAGATGGCCCCTAAGCCCAGCTAATTGCAAATACACCTTTTCAACAAGTCCATAGTAATTTTTTTTTTCCTTTAAATGTGCACACCGACAAGGCCTGTTCAATTTTATTTGTTACAAACTATTAGACATTTATAGACATATGAAAAAAAGAAGACATCCACCTAAACTTGGGTATGATTAATGAAGTGAGGTCACCTAAAGCCTAGCTTCTACTCCTGGCGTTGCAATTGTTGGTTATACGTTAAAAAAAATCAGCCCTCAAAGATGAGGCCAATGCTTTTATGTGGCGCTTAAACAATGTGCAATTATTTTCTAACTGACTACCGCAGCCGCTTCTGCATTAGGACAGTGAGAGCCGTTAATGCCTCAGCAGAATTGGCCAAGAGTTGTCCACTTCCCCCAACTCTTTTTGCGGTGGCGCAGAGGAAGCACTGCTCTCTGGCAATCTCCACTTCCTTCAGTTTTATTCTCTAGCTCAGGAGGGGGAGAAGGGGTGAAAAAAAAAGGAAGGGAAGAAGAGAGAACCTGGCTGAGGCATCGCTGCTGTTATCTTCCCTCTCACTTTGGCACAAGGCTACCGCTGCGATGTCAAAGAGAAGCTACTGAACAAATCCCTTTGGTCAGCTTTTTACACCAAAGCTGTCTTTGTGCCACTACAGGCCGGCTGGTTATTTTGCTGTTATATTCAAAATCCGGATCCTGAGACACATCTCACATGGAAAAACAATTAAAATGGCAGAGCCCTAAAAGGTAAAACCAGATTTTTCCACGCATGGACACTATTTCCACATCTGGTTTTGCATAAACAATCCTAGTGTCTATGAATATTAGACCCATAAAATATCCTCTTAAGAAGCAATCTCCCTTTGTCGTTGCAGTCTGTCTGGTACGACATATACTTGTAAGGAGATGGCAGAAGCTAAAATATATCCAATTACAAGAAGAATCTTTAGTTAGCTCAAATGACAGA